GGGCCGCCACCCCACCATTCTTCTTTGACTGTCATTTTTCTTCTAGTAACATATATAATGTTATATTAATATACTTATTTAATATATTTAATATTATTATTTATTTAATATATTATTATTTTAAATATTATTACATGTTTTCAGAAATTAAACCACCAAACACAATTTTAGTTTTTTTAAAACTGAAAACAATTTCAGAATAAAACTACCAAAAGTATTTTCAGAAATAATTCCAAAATGAAACGTTTTCATTTTCATTTTCATACAGAAAACAAAATCATTTTGGAACCAATTCCAAACGCACCCACTATAAGGTATTTTTGTTTCATAACTTAAGTTGTGAATTTAAACTATGTATATGAGAGAAAAATATTATAATAAAAAAGTTGAATTTAAATATTTATTAGAGAAAATATTATGATAATAGAACTTGAGGTCTGAAAAGATTAAGGCCTTAAAAATATTAATCAAAAATAAAATTTAAAAATTTAAACTCATACCCTCTTAAAATGTGAGTTTAATAATTCTCTCGTTAGACAAATATCACTTTTGAGGTAATGTTATTCTATATTCTATCTCTATTGTGAAACAGTTTGAAATACATCACTTTCAAGGAATAAACAATTTAACAAAGACAATTAATTATGTTTTATCATTGATTAACTGAAGTTTATAAATAATAAATCAGAATTTAGCAATAATAAACTTGTTTATCAATTATAAATTTAAATTTATTACTGATAAACTCAACAGCCCTCAATTGTCAGACTCCTCTCTCCCCTCGATTTGTATCTTTCCCCCTCTTATCTGTGAAGTCAACACAAGATCGACCAATACGTGGTTAAGATCTCCGGGCTCCTTCACGCAATGTTGCTCCGATGAGAAGATTGTTCGAGTGGTCTCTAACCGCATGTCGTATTCCGCACGAAATAGATAATGGAGTTGAAATATGGTTTTTTTTTTTAAATATTTGAGCAATAGAAAATGCATAATTTATTGATTATATTAGTAACTTACTTAACTTATTACTAGCATTTTGTAAAATAAAAATTTCAAATATATTCACATTTGAGAGAATTCCTCAGAAGAAAAAAGTCAGATTAAAAGAAACATATTTATAGACATTAACCTTCTTTTTTAATTATCAAGTTTAGCTTATTATACTATCTACTATAAGAGACACCCGGGTTATTTGAACAGTGCTCGATCCCTTCTTTCCTTCTGATTGTAGAAAATACTGCATGTATCCTTTTAGTGTTGCTTTTACCGTTTTGCCCTCGATCCTATTTATTTAGTTGTTTTTGTTTGGGTTTTTTAGTTGTTTCCGTTGGCCCACAATTACCGAGTTGTTTTTTTTCTCTGGTGGGAAAATGATTGTGTGTGGCAAGACTTAGCGTAAAAACCACGTGTCAAAACCCAATTGCATATCTTCTTAAGTGCTCTACACGTGGCAGAATACAAACCGCCTGATAGACAGCGTAGCCACGAGTCACATTTTTAATGGTCAAGAAGAGCACGCTCACGTGAAACTGAAGCAGACGATTTCGTGCATCTCCTATTGTGGTTGACAGCTTAGCCACGTGTCGCACTTTGATTCGCGGGAAAAAGAAAGTGGCAGGGCCCACCTCCGGTTTTGCTGACGTCGTTATCCCCTGCCACACGTTGGACGTGCATCTTCTTGCGCATGTGTTTCACGAGCCAATCACAGTTGCTGAATTTTTAGATCCAACGGCCTGTGATAAATCCTTAATTATTTTTAATTTTTATTATTTATTATATTTAATTTCTACTTTATAATGGATTTGTAGTCCGCTTTATCCGTTCTAACACCATTTTGCATGAAATTTTTTATACGACTTAGATAAAAATACTATAAATGATCAAATTAAATTCAGAAAATACACTAAATAAAATGAAATCATGTCAAGTTAAATTAAAAAATAAATTAAACAAAATAGGTCCATACGGGCCTATCAACTTGATCCCTCCACTACCACTACAGACCCCCAAAAAGGTTTCATTATTAAAGTTCTGCCACATATGTCGCACCGTGAGCTCTTTGAGCCGGACCATATTTTAAATAGATCACGTGCGTGACTTAGAATCATTCCTTTTTTTCTAATTATTATTATTTATTATATTTATTTATTTTTAAGTGATTTATTGGCCGATTTTTTGCACCGTTTTACGCCAACTTTTTTATGCTACACATATATAAATAATTTGTATGAATTATAACCATTTAACTACCGTCTTGCACCAACTTTCTGATACTACTCACATAAAAATGTTGTGAATAATTCTAATAAAAATATAAATAAAAATATGTTAAGTTAAAATATAATCAAATCACACCAAATTAAATAAAAAAACAAATTCAAACAAAACATAATAAAACTAATTAAAAACACAATAAAATAAGTTAAAATCTTTTTGGAGTGAGAGGTATCCTTTTTTCTTCTTTCACCTTTTTTGAAAAACAATTTATATAATTGTTATTTTTAAACGAAACACACGCACATCGCGTGTATATATATATATATATATGAAAATAAATATATATGCATATATAGTAAACTTACAACAATTTAGAAACTAATTTTTAATCGTGTATTATCATTTATGTTAACTTTTAAATATCTTCATATTCTGTTTTTTTTTAATATTTTACTGCATACTCATTATTTTCGTAACTAAGTAATACATTATTTACTTCAATCTTATCATAAAATAAATAAATAAATGTCCGTGCTTGCACGTACAACTCACTAGTAAGCTACTCCTTCCATGCGGACAGTATCTTTGTTGGAATAGAAACAATCTCCAAAGCAATGGAATATTAGTAGTTTATTCGGTTACGATAAAATGTATTCAACATGCACTTTCTGACTTGAAACTACTGTTATTTTCGACGTAAAAGTGAGCTTTGGTTCTTATGAAGAGGTAAATCCCATCTCTCATTGAGAAACTTTATTGGAGCAGTACAAGAGAGGCTATCCAATTTCTTGGGTAATTTAAAGTAGATAGAACTGATATTATTGCATACCCTGTTTGATATATGGGAAGAATAAAATAAAGAGTAATGTTATAGGCCACTCACAAATAAAAAGTGAATTCCATAGTGTAGGACCCACAAATGTAGCTTAACTTTTATTAGTAATGGTACTCAACATGGTGCGTCTAAGTATTTTTTTAAAACCAATAAAGGAAAGAGGGAATGATCCAAGGAACTATCTCTTTCTAGATTATAGCAGAGAAAACAAAGGGAAAAATAGTTTCCAATACATAAACATATAACACTGACGGTGTCAATCACAAATATACAAAGCTTCTAAAGCTAAAACTTCCAAAAAGCTTCAGTTAAGTGGGCAGAACAATCATGAGAGTTCCAACGTTCCAAGGGACTCCTTGAGAAGTCTCTGCGCTTCTTCTCTTCTCCTAGAAAAAATCCCGGAAAAGAAAAAAAGAGTTCATAAATAACAATAGGGAAAACAAACTTGTACCACATCAATTGAGGAATTTGTTTCAGATACTCAAAATAGAAAAACATGTTCTTCAAAATGCTCACATTTTCCATCCTCAAGAGCAAACTGATGTTTTAGCAACTAGTGAAAGTTGAAACCGTACCTTTTAATATCCTCCACAGCTTGTTTACGACTTTGTATCTGGAGTTCTAGAATGTGAATGAGTGTTGCTCTAGCCTGTGGGGTGACGACGCTACTTAATGAAGGGAGGAATCTCTAAGACAGATGAACAACTGCATATTCTAGTACCTCAAAGTAGTTTACCTGGTGAGGCCGCAATGAATTCAGGAGATGGTGCAAGTTTTTGAAGATAAGAGATATGTCCTCCACTCTCCTAGCATATTGTGATGGTCTCTCGACGAGAACATCAGCGAGCTCCAAAATGTGCAGCTGCAATTCTCTGTTGAGTGACCTCAATTCCTTCTTGAAATCTGTAAGGGATTACAAACTTCTGTTAGAAAAGGAGAATAAGGAATGTGGTTGTAAAGAATATCAAAACAAGCATTTACACAACCATGACAAAAGAGTAGACCCAATCACCCGAGTGCAAAACCAAAAGAGAAAGACAGTTGCACATGCTCAGTGGATTTATGATAGTCATTTTTTGTTTCATTATTAATCAAACAGAAGTCTGAAAAACAAATTGGACAAAAAACTGCTTATACACGTATCAAACACAGATGTTCTAACATTCCTCTCTTTTTCACAGGTTCAAATGACTTCTCCGGCGGTTCTTTGTACCTGTAAACTTTACCATTTTTGTACTTTTTCCAATAGCCCATAAATCTCCCAAAGCTGCTTAGTGGGCTTGAAACTCCTGGTTATTCATCAAGTAGGCGGTCGTAAGGAATTGAACCCCATGCACACCACAGACCTCACTGCTCAGCCAACCATCAGGGTTAACTTTTCTTTGTTCTTACGTCTTATTTGTTCTTATGTTAACTTACCAGTCTCATTAGAGGGATTTCATTCTAAGTAAAACTAGGGGGGTCTGTTTAGGCCCTTTTTTAAATAAAAAAAAAACCACCAACCAAACCAAAAATAATTTTTTCTTTTGGGTGGTTTGATATTTTTTACAAAAACCCAAGTGAATCAAATCACTCAAAAACGGTTTGAGCGGTTTAAGCTTAAAACTAAAAAAGTCTTCAATAATTCATAAAAATTATAAAATCGTTAATCAATAAAAATAAAAATAAGATTTAAGTTTACAACAACAACAACAAGCCTTAATACCAACTTAATTGGGGTCGGCTATATGGATTTCACTTTTCCACACAACTCTGTTTGAAATTAAACTTTCCTGAATGCCTAGATCTAAAATGTATTTCCTAACGACTTCGGTCCACGTAATTCATGGTCTACCCCTCCCTCTCCTAGTATTAGGTATAAAAATGTCCTCCCAAGCACGAACTGGTACTTCTAGCGGTCTATGTTGGACATGCCCGTACCACCTCAAGCGGCCTTCGCGCACCTTATCTTCTATTGGTGCTACACCTACTTTACTACGAATAACTTCATTCCTCATGTGATTCATCCTCGTATGGCCACTCATCCATCTTAACATACGCATTTTTGCCACACTCATCTTAGATATATGTTGTCTTTTAATGGCCCAACATTCACTACCATATAACATAGCTGGACGGATTACAGTCCTATAGAACTTTCCTTTCAACTTAATAGGCATCTTGTCATCACAAAAACTCCCGTAGTATTCTTCCACTTAATCCACCATGCCTTAATGCTATGTTGAATATCCTCTTCAATATCTCCTTCGTACTGCACTATAGACCCAAGGTACCTAAACTTTCTAGAAGCTCCAATCTCCACCCCATCTAAAGAAATTCTATTACTCTGATTACTTGAGTTACTAAACCTACAGTGCATGTATTCAGTTTTCATCCTACTTAAACTTAAATCCATTCGTCTCGAGAGTTTGTCTCCACAGTTCTAACTTACAGTTAACTCATTCCCTATGTTCATCCACTAAAACTATATCATCCGCAAAAAGCATACACTAAGGAACTCTATCTTGAATTTCTCTTGTAAGCTCATCCATTACGATGGTGAAAAGATAAGGACTAAAAGCAGATCCATGATGAAGGCCGATCCAAATGGGGAACTCTGCCGTGTAGCCTCCAGCAGTTCTCACACTCGTGACCACCCCATCGTATATGTCCTTAATTACTTTAATATACATCACAGTACTCCTCTCTTTTCTAACACACACCATAAAACTTCCCTCGGCACCCTATCATATGCCTTTTCTAAATCTATAAAGACCATATGTAGGTCCGTCTTGGTTTCTCTGTACCTTTCCATCAACATCCTAAGAAGAAAAATGGCTTCCGTGGTTGATTTGCCTAGCATGAAGCCAAATTGGTTACCTGAGATGGTAGTTGTGGCCCTTAATCTCCTCCAATAACTCTCTCCCAAAGTTTCATAGTGTGGCTTATTAACTTTATGCCCCTATAATTGTTACAATTCAGCACATCTCCTTTATTCTTGAAGATGGGGACAAGAATACTTTTCCTCCATGCATCAGGCATATGCTTCTTCTTTAGTATCTCATTAAAAAGTTTAGTGAGCCACACAATTCTACCATCTCCTAACGCCATCCAAACCTCTATTGGAATATCATCTGGCCCACATGCCTTCCTCTTTTTTATCTTCCGTAGTGCAGTTTTAACTTCCGAGACTCTGATTCCTCTTGTATACATCACATTAGGTTTTCCTTGTGACCTAAGATTGTCAAACTCTATCGCATGATCATCGTTATAAAGCTTCTCAAAGTAACTCCTCCACCTTTCCCTAATGTCTTTATCTCTTGTCAGAATCTGATCCGTATCATCCTTCACACACCCCATTTGATTTAGGTCATGACACTTCCTTTCTCTTATCTTAGTATCCTTCTCTCCTTCTCTAGTCCCAAGTTTCCTATATACCTCATATAAGTAAGTAAAACGAGCCTTACCAACTGCTCGCTTAGCTTCTTTCTTCGCTTCTTTGTACTTGTTAAGAGTTTCAACATCCTTACGCTTTGGTAAATCTCTATATAAATCCCTCTTGGTCCTAATAGCCTTTTGAACTTCCTCACTCCACCACCAGGTTTCTTTCCCGGGGAGCCTTTACCTCTAGATTCCCCTAGTACTTCTTTTGCCACTTTTCTAATGCAGCTGGCCATGGCATCCCATTGTATTTACATCACCTCCATATGACCAAGTAGCCTCATCTAACAACTTCTCTTTAAAGGTCAATTGCTTTATTCCCTTCAAATGCCACCAACGAGTTCGTGGGAAGTGGTTTATCTTAATCCTTCTATAGCAAAGCTTAATGCTCATATCTACGATCACTAATCTGTGTTGGGTGGCTAGGACTTCTCCAGGAATTACTTTACAATTATTACATAGAGAACAATCTCCATACCTAGTGAGAAAATAATCTATCTGGCTTAAATTCCTTCCATTCTTAAAAGTTATCAAGTGAGAATCTCTTTTCTTGAAAAATGTGTTTGTTATGATAAAATCATGTCCCAACGCAAATTCCAAAATAGATTTCCCTTTTTCGTTTCGAGTTCCAAAACCAAAACCACCATAGATCCTTTCGAAGTTTTCCCTATCCTTACCAACATGTTCATTGAAATCTCCTCCAATGAAAATGTTATCCTCATTGCCTACATGACACACTAAGTCCTCCATGTCTTCCCAGAACTTGACTTTAGCTTCCGCATCCAATCATATTTGTGGAGCGTAAGCACTAATTACATAGATGAACTTATTTCCTAGTATCAATTTGAGCATAATAATTTTATCCCCTATTCGCTTAATCTCAACTACGTCATCCTTCACAGTTTTGTCCACTAGAATACCAACTCCATTGTGATTCCTTTCCCAACCTGTATACCATAACTTGTGTCCTAAATTTCCAATCTCCTTTGCTTTCTCTCCTGTCCACTTCGTTTCCTGTACGCATAAAATGTTAATTCTTCTTCTTACCATAACATCTACTAACTCCATAGATTTATCAGTTAAAGAACCTACATTCCAACTACCTAAATGAATTTTTCTATCATGGGCTAGCTCTGCCCATTGCACACGTCCATGAATGTACAAGGATCCCCCTTGCATATTTTTCACCATATCCGGGGCCCGACATGGCGCACGGGCTTGCTTTTCTCCCTGCACACGTCCATGAATGTGCGAAGACCCCCCTTGCCTATTTAACACTATACCCAGGGCCCAGCATAGCGCGTCGCACGTAGAAAACACCCCAACAGATTCTATGTGAGTGAAATCCATGAGAGTGACTTATTTTTACGCTGGCCCTCAACCTACCGCAACCCTTCTCCTTTACCCGGGCTTGGGACCGGCTATACAAATGCATAAGTTTACAATATAACTTAAAAATAGCAAATGTCTTTTCAAAAAAAAAAAAAAACAGCAAATGTCTAACAGTTCACCATTTAAAGTTTTAATATAAACCAACAAAAATATAATAGGGTATATTTTATAAGTGTAGAACATTTATTATGACCAATAAAAATTAAAATAAATATAAAAAATTAAATTAAAAAAACCGATCAAACCGCCCAATAATCCAAAAATAATTAACAATTTGGTTCGGTTTGGTTTGGATTGGGCGGTTTTCGTAGTTTGGCGGATGTTTTGAACACCCCTAGGCAAAACACCCTAGCAACTATATTTAGAGCTTGTTAGTAGGAGGGAAAAGTGGAAGGAAGGAGACAAGTGAAGGGATTAGTGGAAGGATTTTGGAACTCATGGTTGTTTAGTAGGAGTGGAAATAAGAGGAAATGGATTGAACAAGGGATTTCAAATCCTTCAAAGAACCGCAATTTAAATCTCTCTAAATATAAGAAATTAGAGGAGGTAATCCATAACAAATAAATAAGAAAAAGGTCTTCCCCGTCATCTCTATTTTCCTTACCCAGATTATATGCCTTTTCCTTTCCTTCCTCTGTCTTAGCTGATAATTTAGAACTGAAGGGTATTAAAGAATGGGAACAGGGCTTTAATAAAGAAGAAATTTTTGAAGAAAGGGTGCTATAAACTCCCGTCTTACCAGAGAACGGAAAGTAATTAAAAGTTCAATCAAAGGGGAGAGTGAAGGCCGTTAAAGTTCATATACGAATATGTAGATGTAGTGCTTTTAAAAGCCGACTTATATGTCTATAGGCAAGACTCAAGAGGCTGAAGCAACTGCCTTGCGATGAACCAGGGATGTCATAGAATATTTCCATTAGATCGAACCATTTTCTTTCCCTCTTACCAAACATAACCTTAAACCAATAAGCAAAGCACCTAGAATAATTCAAATAAACTTTAGAAGCAAGCATCTGATTTGGAGACCACACATGGTTTGAAGCAGGAATTTTTGAAACCAAACTCCTAATCTCAAAAAAGTAGTATTACTTAACGTGATGACACAAAACTATAGAATTTCCCGTTCTTTTCATAGTTGCAGCTCAAATTTTCAACTCGAACCGCAAAAAGAATGGGAGTCCTTACCCACATTTGGTCCTTTTGGATATAGCTGGCGAACACCCTGCTCCTCCATGCTTGGAAGCACGTCATCAGTCTATTACAAAAGAACCACAAAGTTAATCAGAAAATAAATAACATAAAATAAAAATAATTCAAATCAAATAATCAAATTTAGTACAAAATAAAAACTTTTTAAGCATAGAACATGAAAGTCGAAACTTTTCTTCATGATTCCAAAGACACTAAAGACTAGTCCCAGGTGAGTTAGAATGTGGCGTAATCTTATTCATCAATCTTGAAATATAGCAAAAATAGTGTAACGACTACTTCGTAATTTTTGCAAACATGTCTTGTATGGTATTTAAATTTGAAAAATCATTCTTCTTTCTCTGTATCATGTTTCCAAGAAGAAAAGAGGATTCCAAATCTCGAAGAAACTATGTTCGACACAATTGAACTCACAACAGTTTGAAAAAAACAAGAAATTGAGAGGGAAAATGGGGAAAAGTAAGAGATTTTTCTCACCGTGTAATTGGCTCCAAAACAAACGTAAGTCCCTTCAATGGGCGGAGGCGGCGCCGGAGCCGATTTAGGGTCCTGGAGGTAATCCTTGTAGAGCCGGTAAAATGGCGGCGGTGGTGGGTACGTAGCTGTTGCCATTGTAGACCCTAAACCTAAACATCAAACGAGTACAGCGAAACAATGAATTCAAATTCAATTGAGCAAATCCTAACTCCCATTTTGATTTGCTGTTTGTTTACCGAGAAAACACGGAAAAGGTAAAGCAAACAAACAGGGAACTGAAAAATCCCAAATTCTTGAAATTTCAGCTGACGAAAGTTAGTTTCTGAATCTGAAATGTGCAAACAAAAGGAGCAATTGGCCCCTTTTATTTTCCATATTTTTCTCGGCAGCCAAATAGAATAAAGAAAGACAAATGCCTCCCTTTCTTTCTTTTCTTTTTCTTGAAGAGCACCCTATTTATCCTTGTGAGTTAAGCCCGCTGCCGAGTCCCGTTAAGCGGGTAGGTATGAGCCAATTTTGTAGAACAGACTATTTTATGAGTAATGACGTTATAAATATATTAAAAGGAAGGTAAGGAACGGTAACAGCTGGTTAAATTAATTGGGACTAATTAATATAATTTGGAATTAGTGAAAACATTTTAGTTATAATTATCACGTAAATAATTTTTATTTTTTAAAAAAATTATTTTGAAATTGATACTCTATTCAAATTAAATTTTGAAGTCTAATTATTAAATTTGCACAGAAAGTTCAAGCTCATTTTTTTTTCTTTTCATTTTTTCTTTTTTTTTCCTCCTTTTTCTCTCATTCTCTCTCTCTTCCACGTTCACTCTCTCTCTCCACGCCGGCCAAAACACTCTGATTAGAATTTCAGTGTCCGTTTTTGACACCTCCTGACTCGTTGTAAAGATCTCGACGAGTTGAGCATGTTGAAATATTGCACGACCTCCAACTCCGCATGACTCAATTGCCAGTCGAAGTTTTGAAAACAACCGAAACTTCCGACGATTAGAGGTCGTGCAACATGCTCAGCTCGTCGAGATCTTTACAATGAGCTGGGAGGTGTCAAAAACGGACACCAGAATCCTTATCGGAGTGTTTTGGCCGGCGTGGAGAGAGAGAGAGAGGAAAGGAGAGAGTGAACGTGGAAGAGAGAGAGAGAGAATGAGAGAAAAAGGAGAAAAAGAATAGGAAAAATGAGCTTGGACTTTCTGTGCAAATTTGATGATTAAACTTCAAAACCCAATTTGAATAGAGTATGAAATGATCCATTATTTATGTTTCGAAAAATTGGCTACCAACACTTTAAAATTGTTTGAGGGATAGTATTGTCAATTTCAAAATAATTCTTTTTAAAAGGAAATGTAATTTACGTGATAATTATAACTGAAATTTTTTCACTGATCTCATATTAGATTAATTAATCTCAATTAATTTAACCGGGTGTTACAGGAACATTGTCTATACACTCACAATTCATTGTTTATGCTACAATAACATTCTCAAAATTCCGCTTTTGTCACTTATTCTTTAAGTTTGAATTGTCAATTTTGCCTTTTTTTTCTTCTCTTTTCCCTTCCTTGCACATGGGCTTTTGTGTTTTTCGTTCTTGAGTTGCCACGTTTCGAGGCCCACCGCTGCGCAACTGCCTTCCCCTGAAATTTTTAATTGGACGGTTTCTAACTATTTCCGGTTTATTTTTAAAAGTTTTATTTTTTATTAAATTTATTTACTATTTTAAATTGATTTGGAGTTCAATTTTATCCGTTTTACCATCATTTTGTGTCAAATTTTTTATATTACTTAAATAAAAATACCCTAAAATAAAATAAAAATGCGCTAAATTAAAATCAAATAACACCAAATTAAATAAAAAATTAGACAAAACAAAATAGAATTAATTTAAAACACAATAAAATAAGTTAGATTATTTTTCTTCTCTCTTTGCTTAAGATTTTCCCCCGTTATTATTTTCATTTCTTTTATGTCATCTTTTCTTTTACTTCTTTTTAAAAAAGAATTTTGTGTTAGCCATTATTTTAAAAAAGAAATGTGTTGATTTGTTGTTCGAATTTATCCATTTCAATATCATTTTGCGCCAAATTTTCATAGCCTCTCAAATGAAAAATATGATAGATAATTTGAATGAAAAATTAAATTAAATAAAAATACACTAAAATAAAATAAAGTCGCACTTTCTTAAATAAATTAAACTAGAAATTACATCGGTGGTTGGAAGAGCAACACAAACATTGATAAAAAAAACTATGTTCTACATTAACAATTGATGAATGCTTTACTGATCCATTTGTAATTGCAGTTAAAATAACAAATAAAAATCTTACAATTTATTTTTAATAAAGGGGAGCACAAATGACTACAATTATTTCAAAAATATTTGAAGATGTCTATCTTTTAATACCATTACCACAAACAGCAGCTGCCACAACAATAGATCCAAAAACACCAGACTTAAAAAGATTGACCACAAGGTAAGACATATTTACTAATTTATATCAATTATCAATAAAAATCAACATTTACTATTTTAAATACATATCTTAACAATTTTTATCAATTCAAATTTGAACCAAAGGCAACAGACTCTCCCAAAAAACGCTTAAGGACCAAATAATATAACTATTTCTAAATCCTTTGATCTACACTACATATAAGTAAATATTTTCAACTTTCTTAATTATTATTATCATTAATTATTTTTTTAATTTATATTTTGCAGTTAAAAAGAACAAAAGAAAAAAAGGGAAATAAAAACTGTAATACATTGTAAACTAATTTATATTTTTTAATTTATATTTTAGCTAGAATATTATATATATATATATATATCTATATGTATATATAAACTAATCTTATACTATAAATTTTTTTAATTTTTTATATAATGCAACAGTATTTTTCACAGCAACACGTAACATATTGGCTAATTTTATTCTAATAAGAACAATTTTTTTTTTTTTTTGAAATAGTAGTGTTTAACTTTGATCAGGACCGTCCACGTCAACAAATTGTTGATTACATTTGTGTTTTTTTCATGGTTATTTTATAGTGAGTTTTTAGCACAATTATCCCCTCATTGATTTAGCAAATAGTTCACTAAAATTTTAATTTTGACAATTAAATTCTTAAATTTATAAAATTGTTATAATATATCCCATTTTACTAATAATCCAATCTTATCACACAGAAAAACAACCAAAACATCTAGAACCCCAGATCTAAAAGATAAATAAACACGAAACAAGTAAGCAAAACTCCAATCGAATGAATCCACCAAAAAGATCGAAACTTCCGCATCATATGGAAACAGAATTTAGGGCTAATCAATTACCTAATCAAATTCTTGGACGTAAGACGGCAAGCTTTGATGGCGGCACCGATCAAGCTGCTTTCAGTAATGTAAATCCCCCAGCGAAAAAAAGACAATGGTAAGATGTAAGCAGAACAAAAAAAATCAACTTTATGCATATCATGAAGCGAACCAGATTCCGGAAAAGAGAAGTACTGCTGATCATCCAAATCAAAAACAAAAGTTCATGAAGACATGAGCTAAACCCTAACCCCAAAGCATCAATTAATAACTGTATTGATGTTTTGAATATAGTTAAGGGGTACTTTCAGTTGGGGAATGATATGTATAGGATCTTGAACCGCGAATTCAACAAGGGCAAACCAGAAGAAGAAGAAAGAAAGAAAAAAGCCCAACATAGAAAATATCCTTCTACGTAAAACATCTCTCAAAATTTATGAAATATTCATGTTAAATCACCAAAAATTAACAGAATAATAAGTAAAAGCGTACCTGAATCTATGACTATTAATTACTGTTTAGAGCTGTACAATATGTCTTACAAATTAACACGTTCTCTCAAAAAATTCTTTGACTTTCTCTTTGCTCTCTCTCTAATGATAGGATGTAAGAAAAAAATAAAATGATAATTACGTGTGATATGAGGACCATAACTACTATATCTAAATAACTTCTATATCATCTTTTAGTATTTTTATTTTAACTTATCATAAAAATAAAAATTATCCTCACCAAATTATCCAAACCTTAATAAATAACTTTAAATGAGCTTAAGCTTATATTTATATGACAATCTACAATACAACGTTGGATTTAGGATCCAGATCCAATTGATGTGTTGTGCTAAGATTCACAGAGTAATGTGTAAAATAATGCCCCGTTTTTTTCGCCGATTCGAGTTTAGAATTCGAATTTTTTTACAGTAAAAAGCTCTCAGAAACAGTCACATCTAACTTTTTTACTACAGTAAAAAGTTCTCACACAAAATCACATCTTAACTCGGATTATAAATTCAAATTAGCGAAGTGAATGGGAAGAAAACCAATTGATGAAACAAAGGTTGCACTCAAGTCCCCCTCAACGAAAAAGAAATCCAAGAATAATAATAATAAAAAAAAGGTGTTCAGAAATGGAAGTCTCATTAAAAATGCAAATTGATAAATAAAAATGAATATAGAACCTGTAAAAAAAATACGATTAAGCAAAACAATTATGCTTCTAATTGACCATTCAAGTTAGGGCATGTTCACATGTCATTCCCAAAAAATAAAAAAACGAAAAGAAACATCAAAATAAGAAAATGAACAACCATAATTTTGCTCGTAAAAAGACTAAGGTGATGTTTGGTAAGGGGATTTGTACCCTGATTCGAATCATGATTCATGGTTAGTTACAGTATTTTCTCTCATAAAAAATACACGTAAATTGAAAATAGTTCTAATCTCATGATTCTAATCCATGAACCAAACGTCTTCTAAGGGTTTGTTCGTTTGCACTTAAATTTAAAAAAAAATTTAAATTCAAGTTATAATTTTATTTAAATTCATGTTCTTTTGTAAAACTTGAGTTTGAACTTGAGTTTGAACTTGAATTTTAATTTGAGTTTAGAGTTAAAATTAAGTTTAAGTTTTCTCTTCAACTTAAGTTTCTAAACTCAAACTCAAGTTAATGAACAATTTTTTTTTTCTTTAAAACGCTATAATTTTTTCGTTTTAATTCCGATTGAGATGATTTTTTATGCGTTCAAAACGAAGAGACGAATAAAACTCTATCTATATACCCTGTTAAAATTTTTCATCATCATTGAGTTTTTATTAAAATACTATTTAAATACAACTGAACAGGCCCTAATGCTTTAGGGGTTGTTCTTTTGCAACAAAACTAAAAAAAATTTGAACTCGAGTTACAACTTTATTCAAGTTCATGTTCTTTTGTAAAATTTGAGTTTGAACTCGAGTTTTAATTCGAGTTTAAACTCGAGTTTGAGGATAAACTCGAGTTCAAGTTTTCGCTTCAGCTCAAGTCGAGTTTATAAACTCGAATTCAAGTTAATGAACAATATTTTTTCTATTATTAAATATGCCATAACTTTTTCATTTTAATTCTGATTGAGATGATTTTTTTTCTATGCATTCACAACGAAAAGACGAA